AAATTACTGTACACTTTTGAATAATGTAGTTAATCTACTATAATTAGTTTGTTTAATGTCGAATCATATCAATTTGTTTTAAAGCTCAATAAATAACAAAGAAGACCTTTAACCGGCACTTATCTAATTTTGTCCGGAAGATTTCAACTTTAACGGACATGTTGACCGGCAAAAAAATATTCTAACGGGAACTCTGGTGTGTGTGTGTATGTGTGTGTGTGTATGTGTGTGTGTGTGTGTGTGTGTGTGGGTGTGTATGTGTGTGTGTGTATGTGTGTGTGTGTGTGTGTGTGTATGTGTGTATGTGTGTGTGTGTGTGTGTGTGTGTGTGTGTGTGTGTATGTGTGTGTGTGTGTGTGTGTGTGTGTATGTGTGTATGTGTGTGTGTGTGTGTGTGTGTGTGTGTGTGTGTGTGTGTGTGTGTGTGTGTGTGTGTGTGTGTGTGTGTGTGTGTGTGTGTGTACAGTGCTTCATGTATTCACCTGCACCTCCCTGCCTCCATAGTATTCACCATGTGTTACCCATGTTCAACTCATCTTATAAAATGTGTATTATCTTATGAATTAAATTCATGTTGCTCCATTCTTTATTCCTCATGTTTGAGCACATGTGTAAGGTTGTGTAACGGCCCATTAAGGAATGATCTGATGAAACAGAACACAATTGAATATTGATTTGAGTCGTTTCTTGTGTCACATCACAAGTTTTCTTTCATGAATAAATGTCTTTGAGTTTTTGACATTTTGAAAATAAGACGAATCCAAACGTGTAGAAAAACAGATGTATACAAAGAGATGGAAAGGATATAGGAAAAGAGTGAGAAACAGAGAAAGAAAGTGTCCTTGGTCCTGAAGAAAGGATGCAAAACAGAGGACAGGAATAAAAAGGAGAGAATGAAGAAGTCATGAGAGAAAAAAAATGAATTAAAGAAGGAGAGAAGAAGAAGACTCAATAAATGAGGATATTCTCAGAGGGTCAAACTGAGGGAGTATGGAGTCATCGGTAGAAGACCACACACACACACACACACACACACACACACACACACACACAAAACACACACACACACACACACACAAAACACACACACACACACACACACACACACACAGTAACACACACACACACACACACAAACACACAACACACACACAAACAAAACACACAGACACACACACACACACAGTATCACACGCACACTAACACACACACACACACACACACACACACACACACACACACAAACACAGTACACACACACACACAAACACACACACACACAGACACACACACAGTAACACAAGAAACAGATACAAAGGAAAAAGTCACACAGGCATGGACACACATATCACACACACACACACACACACACACACACACACACACACACACACACACACACACATATACAGTGTGTTCTAGAGGAGGATATTCATTCATTAGAGTCAGTCAATAGGAGAGAGAAGACAACATTAACTCGCACACACACACACACACACACACACACACACACACACACACACACACACACACACACACCATGTGGTTGGGAAAGTGTATATGCTGTACTGTACTGTACATGTTATGTGTGTGTATGTGTAAGAGGGCAAATCTGATTAAATTGCGCTTTCTGTGTGCGTGTGATATTCATATACAAGGTGAGACCGGCCTCACCTTGCTCTGTGTGTGTGTGTGTGTGTGTGTGTGTGAGAGACACTACATACTGATATACACCTGAACATCAGCAGGAGAGGACTCTTTAAAGTAGAGACACTACATACTGATATACACCTGAACATCAGCAGGAGAGGACTCTTTAAAGTAGAGACACTACATACTGATATACACCTGAACATCAGCAGGAGAGGACTCTTTAAAAGTAGAGACACTACATACTGATATACACCTGAACATCAGCAGGAGAGGACTCTTTAAAGTAGAGACACTACATACTGATATACACCTGACATCAGCAGGAGAGGACTCTTTAAAGTAGAGACACTACATACTGATATACACCTGAACAATCAGCAGGAGAGGACTCTTTAAAGTAGAGACACTACATACTGATATACACCTGAACATCAGCAGGAGAGGACTCTTTAAAGTAGAGACAACTACATACTGATATACAACCTGAACATCAGCAGGAGAGGACTCTTTAAAGTAGAGACACTACATTCTGATATACACCTGAACATCAGCAGGAGAGGACTCTTTAATTAGAGACACTACATACTGATTACACCTGAGACACTACAGGAGAAACCGGAACAGCAGCAGGAGCACACACACACACACAACACACACACACACACACACACACACACCACACACACACACACACACACACACACACACACACAGACACACACACACACACACACACACACACACACACACACACACACACACACACCACACACACCACACACACACACATTCAGAGACATGCGCATGTGAAGAAAAACCAGGCACACACACAGATACTAATAAACATTTACTTTAACTCCCCTATTCACACTACACTTCTTGATCTTGTACCAATTACATCTCTGCATACAGGTGAATGATGCTTGTAGTTCTTAGCAATACACGCACACACACACACACACACTCACACACACACACACACACACTCTCAAACACGGCACCAGAATTTTCAGGCAATTTGCTTTCATCTTTGGGTCATTCCTACCAGCCCAAACCTCCCTTTTTAAAAGCGAGCTTCTCCTCTTCTCCTCTAAGTGCGTCGCACAAAGGGCCCATTTCAAAGGCAAATTCCACTTAGATTCACAAGTGCTGTGTATACTCTGGTACTCCAGGCAGAAATTCATCAAAGCTTAATGTTCCCTTCACAGAAAATCACTTAGCGCAGAAGCTAGTCGCGTGTGTGTGTGTGTGTGTGTGTGTGTGTGTGTGTGTGTGTGTGTGTGTGTGTGTGTGTGTGTGTGTGTGTGTGTGTGTGTGTGTGTGTGTGTGTGTGTGTGTGACTGTGTGTGTGTGTGTGTTACCACAGCTTTTCCATGTTGTTTGATAGCAGTTTAAAGGGTCACTGCAGCGCCACTCACCTCCGGCCCAATCGGCTCTGTTTATATGTTCAGATTCATTAGAATAAAAAGGTTTCTTTGAAGATGTAAAGACACAAGCTCAATGAAACACTAAAGCTGTTATGGTTGACAACGAGAGTGACTTTTACGTCTAAAGATGAAGTAAATGTAAGGTCATTTGAATCAGAAATCGAGAAAACTTTGTCCAGACATTGAGTTATTTAATGATTGAATGAACTATGCAGAGCCCTATCTGTCAAGACTTCAGATATGTTTTGTATCACTACTTATAAAGGATGAAATAATTAACAAGATAATCCGTCACGAAAAAAACGAATTATATTATATATACACATTGATTTATATTATTTAAGAATGATAAATATGAATAAATGGCTTTTGATAAGGTGCAGATTAAGAGCAAACTGTTTAAGGTTCAGGGTTTAGACATATCTAGGTTAAATACAATCATAATGAATATTAGATACAAATGTAGTAAACAGTCAATACAGACATTGTAATTGAGTCTCAAGGAATGAAACGTCCCTGAGTTTAATGTAAAGAAATACACAAAATGGATTTCTTGCCGGGACATTTAATATTTTCCTGTGTAGGATTCACTGGTGGCCCAGGGTCAGTTTGATTACGAGTTGTTTCCAGAGGTGTGAAGTATTGGAGTACAAATAGAAATCAATTTTGTGTATTTCTTTACATTAAACTCAGGGACGTTTCATTCCTTGAGACTCAATTACAATGTCTGTATTGCCTGTTTACTACATTTGTATCTAATATTCATATATACATATAAATACTTCGTTACTGTACTTAAGTAAATTGTTCTGGTATCAGTACTTTACTCCACGACTTTTTACTTTGAACCCAAATACCTGTACTTTCTACTTCTTACATGTTGAACCCAAATACCTGTACTTTCTACTTCTTACATGTTGAACCCAAATACCTGTACTTTCTACTTCTTACATGTTGAACACAAATACCTGTACTTTCTACTTCTTACATGTTGAACACAAATACCTGTACTTTCTACTTCTTACATGTTGAACACAAATACCTGTACTTTCTACTTCTTACATGTTGAACACAAATACCTGTACTTTCTACTTCTTACATTTTGAACCCAAATACCTGTACTTTCTACTTCTCACATGTTGAACACAAATACCTGTACTTTCTACTTCTTACATGTTGAACCCAAATACCTGTACTTTCTACTTCTTACATGTTGAACCCAAATACCTGTACTTTCTACTTCTTACATGTTGAACACTAATACCTGTACTTTCTACTTCTTACATGTTGAACACAAATACCTGTACTTTCTACTTCTTACATGTTGAACCCAAATACCTGTACTTTCTACTTCTTACATGTTGAACCCAAATACCTGTACTTTCTACTTCTTACATGTTGAACCCAAATACCTGTACTTTCTACTTCTCACATTTCCCAAACAGGCTGGTTCCTTTAGTTTGAATGTGTGTTTGGTGGCGTGATCATTAGTATTTAGAGTCATTGCGTGCCTATTGATTTGAACACGATCCGTGTATCCATCATTTCCTGGTCTTCTCTAAAGAAGAGGGACCAATGAAAACGTTGTCATGTTGCCGTTGTTCAGCATGGAAACATTCATTAGCTAACAATGACATTATTGTTCTATTAATATAAAGGGAGGTCAGGTACTCTTTAAAACAGCTGCTAGTTATGGGTACTTTTTACTGAAGTACATTTCAAAGCCCTCTTTACTTTGACTTGAGTAAAGAAGTTTAGTCAGTACTTCTACTTTCACCAGAGTATCTTTAAACACGAGTATCTGTACTTCTACTTGAGTAAAGGAAGTGTGTACTTTTGCCTCTCTGGTTGTTTTTCACGCCACATGTTACAAAGACTTGTTGGTAAGTAAACACAATCAAATAAACTTGTTGGTCCTACCTTTGACGGAGGTGTTGGGCGGGGCTCCCTCCATGCGCAGGTTCCACGGCGGGTCTCCCCCGTTGGCGAAGTCTCTCATCTTCAGGTAGCTGATGGTGAGCCGGATGATGGAGGCTTTGTCCAGCTGCGAGGTGATGGCGCCCGGCAGCGGCAGCATCTTCGCCAGCTCGTAAAACTCAAAGTTCTCCTTCCCCCGCCGCGACCGCGCCGCGTCACGTGACTTCTCCTTCCTCAGAGCCTGCAGCCTGGACGGAGGGCAAAGAAAGAAGTGAAGAATTCTGATTATGAAAGACAAGAGAATCAGAATGGGGTTCACGGGAGACTTGATGTAGGAGCCAATTAACACTGTGGGTATAAAGGTAGGAACCAATGTTTGTGGTTAGAGGTTCCACCGGAAGGCCATACAGTTTTTGACCACACACGGAGAACACACACACACGGAGCACACACACACATTACATGTTACTTGTTAGACGCTTTTATCCAAAGCGACTTACATACTCAATACTGTGGACAATCCCCACAGGAGCAATTTGGGGTGAAGTGTTCAGGGACACAACGACATGCTGACTGCAGTGGGGTTTGAACCTGAGACCCCCTGATCCGAACACCTACGCACAAACCACTGCGCCACACGCCTCCTTACACACACACGGAGAACACACACACACAAGGATAACACACACACACACACGGAGAACACACACACACAAGGATAACACACACACACACACGGAGAACACACACACACAAGGAGAACACACACACACACACGGAGAACACACACACACAAGGAGAACACACACACACACGGAGAACACACACACACACGGAGAACACACACACACAAGGAGAACACACACACACACGGAGAACACACACACAAGGAGAACACACACACGGAGCACACACACACGGAGAACACACACAAACACGGGATTACAAACATTTGCCAAAGATATTGTGTGAACCGTAATATTGTGTATGGTGAATGAGAGAATGAAGCAAGTTAAATGGACACCAGTAAAAAAGGAAATAAATGGACTGTATTTAACTGGAAACTGTGTATCAGACTTGTATTCACCTGACAAACTGGCTTAGCATCTACAGTTAATATTGAACGAAATGAAAGTTATGTGTAGAAATGAAACACATTTAGAGAAACTATGCTTTTGAGGGTTTTCCCTTTTCCTGTAGTGTGTTATTTAGGTTTCTGTGCATGTGAATGGTCTGCAAAGGCTCAAATCCCAAAGTTCCCTCCAGAAACCAAGACCCAAGGAAGAGTCTAGGCATACGTCGTTTGGGCCCAAAGATACTACTCCCCATTGACTCACATTGGGAAAGAGACATCAGTGTGCATTGTTCGTTGTTGTTGCTAAATCAGTACAAACACCTTTATTTGATCAATAGGGTCTAAATGGTGTAAAATTCTCTCAAAGCCAAATCCAGAGTTATTTTCCCTTTCCATTCATTAGTCTGAGCCGAGAGCGAGAGATCGGAGGCTTTAGTAAATATCCAAGAGTGAGAATATGCACGTTTGTAGATGACATCACTTCAAGACTTCAGTGAAGTAAACTGCACCACCAGACATCACCTTCTTCCCTTCCCTCCTTCCTCCTTTCCTGCTTCCTCTCCATCACTTTCCACTCTATTACTTTATGTGAAATAGCTGCTCTGTTTATTCTCTCCCTCTCTTTCACCCTTCAACAACAACAGTGACGACCATACTTTCCCGCGGCCTCTCATCATCATCGGACGCCGTTATGAATTAACTCGGCAATAAATCAGCTGCTTAAAAACCTCTGTGGGCTTCCTGCCGGCCACACACACACACACACACACACACACACACACACACACACACACACACACACACACACACACACACACACACACACACACACACACACACACACACACACACACACACACACACACACACACACACACACACAAAGACAGGTGATTAATTTTTGCCGGTGCAAAAGTGTTGGAGGGATATGAGGAGAGGAGGGTGTAAGGAGAAGGAGAGGGATGAGATGGAGGGATAGCGGACAAACACTTTGGAGGAGGAGGAGGAGGAGTTGTTTGGGGCTAGAAATGAATAATGGCTGTCATCTGGCAAAGAATATCATTTTCATACTGTTTGTCATTTATTTATCAGGGAGAATAAACACTAAATGAGGAGAGGAGAGGCAAGGTAAGAGGAGAGACAAGAGAGGAAAGGAGAGACTAGAGAGGGAAGGAAACGAGGGGAAACATAGGAAATAAGAGGAAAGGAAAGGAAGGATACTATAGGAGACAAAAGGAGAGGAAACAAGAGGAGAGCAGAGGATATGATAATAGGTGAAAGGAAACAAGAGGAAAGGAAAGGATACTATAGGAGACAAAAGGAGAGGAAACAAGAGGAGAGCAGAGGATATGAAAATAGACGTGCTGCGTTATATTTTGGTCTTTTAATCTCATCGTTGTGACCGACCAAATCTCTTTAGAACTTTCTCTGGACCTGATGAGCAACTATTGTTTGGGGAAAAGCGTCAATCTCAAAGGAGCAATATCATGCTAATATTCAGTTTCATAGTTGGTGTGTGTGTGTGTGTGTGTGTGTGTGTGTGTGTGTGTGTGTGTGTGTGTGTGTGTGTGTGTGTGTGTGTGTGTGTGAAGGCTGACGAGGAGCAGCGAGGCAGACGGGATTTATTTGTTCCGCAAACTTGAAAGCGTTATGTTGATGGACGACAAATATGTCTTCATGTCTGTATGTTATGTGTGTGTGTGTGTGTGTGTGTGTGTGTGTGTGTGTGTGTGTGTGTGTGTGTGTGTGTGTGTGTGTGTGTGTGTGTGTGTGTGTGTGTGTGTGTGTGTGTGTATGAGTTTAAATGTGGATATGTGAGAGTGTGTGTATGCGGACAGGGAGGTGTGTTTGACCTTGACTCAAACAGACATATTTATCATGTACCGGCTCAGTAGGTAAATGCAACACTTGTGAACCGTGTGTGTGTGTGTGTGTGTGTGCGTGTGTGTGTGTGTGTGTGTGTGTCGGTGTGTGTGTGTGTCGGTGTGTGTCGGTGTGTCGGTGTGTCGGTGTTTGGGTCTTATAAACATGGAATGAAACCGTGTCGTAAAGTTCAGCCGGGTGACTTGATGGTGTTTTAAAGAGCTTGTCACGGCAGGCGAGGTGTGTGTGTGTGTGTGTGTGTGTGTGTGTGTGTGTGTGTGTGTGTGTGTGTGTGTCTGACTGTGTGTGCGTGTCTGACTGTGTCTGACTGTGTGTGTGTGTGTGTGTGTGTGTGTGTGTGTGTGTGTGTGTAGTGTGTGTGTGTGTGTGTGTGTGTGTGTGTGAGTGTGTGTGTGTGTGTGTGTGTGTGTGTGTGTGTGTGTGTGTGTGTGTGTGTGTGTGTGTGTGTGTGTGTGTGTGTGTGTGTGTGTGTGTGAGTCTGACTGTGCGTGTGTCTGATGTCGTAAAGTTCAGCGAGGTGGGTCGATGGCTTTTTAAAGAGCTTGTCAGCTCAAAGGAAGAGATATGTGTGTTTCTGAATGTGTGTGACTATTTTAAGAGTGCATAGACAGAGAGCATGCTGGGAAAATCAGTGGGGGGTAAAGGTTTAACTTCCAGGTCAATTGGAGGTCAAAGTGGGCATCAGTCATGACAGCAGGACGGGCTGATTTACTGACTGAGACAGAAATATCTGATTCATACAAGAAACTCCACAGCTTCTCTCGAGTATTTCGTTTCCTGAAGCTTTTAGTTATTTATTCAAACATTTCAAAGAAGAGTTGTTACTGAGGATGCTTGTCGTCAATATCCCTAAAATATAATCATCACAACTGTTATATTTACTTTGTCTGCGCTGAGTGACAGTTCAGTCCAAAGCACATGGAGAGCCATTTGTATTCTTGCATTTCAGTGCATTTGCTAGAAAAGAAAGTAAAGTCAGCAAGTTATAGTTTTGTATAAGATGGAAGTAGATGAAGTGGTACCGGAGTAAAACAAAAGTGCTATTACTTGCTCCTAAAAACAATGAATGGTTAACATAAAGAAATAAAGTTTGGCTTCTTGACGAATGATTCGAATCACTGACTGACTCGGATTATTGGAAATCGATGGTTAATCAAAATCCATCCAGTCAGTTTCCTCTGATCTTAGTCAAAACAATTCAACATTTGTGCTTTTTTTTTTACTTTAAACTATAGGCTTTAATGTTGTGTAAACGAGGTCTTTTGAGCATGATGAAAACTTGTGGTAATGAGTTGGAATTAAAGGGGACCTATCATGCAAAATGCACTTGTGTACGTCTTTTCTACATGAATATGTGTCCCCGGTGTTCCAGGGAACTCACCAAGTGTCAGAAAACACAACCCTCTCTATTTTCCTCCATACCCAAATCTCTAAAAAAGGGGCTGCAACGGATCTGATAAAAACTGATCCAGATTTGAACACTGTCCTGACGTCAGGACGGTGGCGCTACGGCTATTGGGCCAACTCCACCAATCAGGAGGAGACAGCCACGGCCATTGCCGTTCGAAAGCGCTGGAGACGCTGTAGTACATATGCCAGGCCTGTAGATGGTGCTGTTCTCGCAGAATCAGCCCTTGCTACAACAGAGCTAGAAATTGTCAAATTGAGCGAAATGAGGCATGGCTAAAATGCATGATCTGTTTGGTATTTTGAAAAAAAAAAAGTATAAATATGCCTTATATAGGTATGGTCCTACACTATGTTATTCAAATATAGCATGATAGGTCCACTTTAAGTTAGCTCACTGGAAAAATGCTGCTCCAAAAACAAGTTAAACAACAATGAAAACAAGGTATTTTCACTTGAAATAAGTACACCAATCTGCCAATAGAACAAGTGAACATTAGCTTGGTAAGATTCCTTGAACTAAGACGGGATATTTAGATAAATCACATCTTGTAATTAGCTGGAGAACTCATTTTGAACTATATTTGACCAGAATCAGGAAATGTTGTGTTACAGAATAATCCGCAAATGCTCAAATGTTTTCTGTTTTCTGATGTTAGTTGGTGATTTTCTAATAAATATATAAAAAGATATGTGTTTCATCTGAGATACAACTCAAAGTAAGATGTTTTGACTTAAAGGTCCCATGTCATGGCCATATCTACTGATCATAATTCCATTGTTGAGGTCTACTAGAATAAATGTATATTGTTCAATGTTCCAAACTCACATTGGTTTCTCAAACAGCATCTCTGTATAGTATGTGTATTCACTCTCTGTCCT